TTGTAGATGGAGAGAGGTTTTACCACTAGCTCAGACAACGTTGTCAACACCCGCCGCCAAAACATCTTCATCAACCATGGATCATCCAGTAGCCATTGATAGAGCGAGACCAGACTCCGAGAGGTTATGCCACCAGCACAGGCAGTGTCGTCAGCAGCCATGAATCAACCCAGATAGCAATGACAGATGCAGTTGGAGAGAGGTTTTACTACTAGTTCAGGCAACGTTGTCAACACCCGCCGCTAGAATGTCTTTATCAACCATAGATCATCCAACATCCATTGATAGAGCGAGACCAAACTCTAAGAGGTCATGCGACCAGCACAGACAGTGTCGTCAGCAGCCATGAATCAATCCAGATAGCAACAACAGATGCAGATGGAGAGAGGTTTTACTACTAGCTCAGACAACATTGTCAACACCCGCCGCCAGAACGTCTTCATCAGCCATAGATCAGACAACAACCTTTGATAAAGCGAGACCAAACTCTAAGAGGTCATACTATTAGCATTGTTAGCCATCGCTAGAACGTCTTCATCATCCATGGATCATCTAGCAACCATTGATAGAGCGAGACCATACTCTGAGAGGTCATACCACCAGCATCATTAGCAATTATCAGTTTTGATGATGATTTCAAGCCGAAGCTTCGCCAAAAGATCTAACTCAGTGTACAAGTTTACTTATGCACCAGACACCAGTAGCCAGTGTGCTTGTGCATATCTGTCTCGAAGATAGAGCTCTGTTGCAGATGCTGTAAGGATGTGTCAGACAAAGCTTGCATGCCTATGCCTCCATGTAATGATTTGTTTTTACTTCAGTAATATCTTGGCGACGCTGTGAATTTTTTCTTGGCACCTACAGTCTGGCGACGAACCAATTTATTTTTTCGCAACTACACTTTGCCGGATCAAAATTTTCTTTGTAGCTACAATTATGGCAAGGGACCAAAATTTTTCTTTGTAGCTACATTTTGGCAGTGGGCCAAATTTCTTCGTTGCAGCTACAATTTGGCGACAGACCAAAATTTTCTTTGCAACTACACTTTGGTGGCATACCAAGTTGACAAGACGAGCACTTTTGATATCATGTGATGAGCGCACTTTGCCTTTTGTTTTTTTAGGTTGACTGAACTTGGAACAAACTTCCAAGATACCTACATACCCTAAACAGGGATCAAGTCATCATGTAGTTCACAATTTTTTTTTTGTTAGACAGTTTATACTCATGTCAAAGAGTTTTTTTTTTTTTTTTTGGGAGACAGTTTAAACTCGTATCAAGGAGTTCTTGATTTTTTTTTTTTTTTTTTTTTTTTTTTAGATAAACAGTTTAAACTCGTGTCAAGGAGTGTTAATTTTTTTTTTTTTTTTTGGGAGACATTTTAAACTCGTATCAAGGAGTTCTTGAATTTTTTTTTCAGGTAGACAGTTTAAACTCGTGTCAAGGAGTGTCATTTTTTTTTCAAGTTGACAGCTTATTCTCGTGTCAGGAAGTATCATTGACAGTTTAGGCTCATATCTGGGAGCATTTCAATTTTAATTATTCTTTAACTTTGCAAGAATCAGACGACAATCCAAACTTATGCGGAAGGGCACGGACTATTTCGTCGTCACTTTGAGGATTTTCTTCTTAGTTTCCTTGACTTAATGCTCCCTGTGATTTTGCACTTTCGGTTGAAGTCATTGTTGTAGCATGGTGTGTTTCTTGATGTAAGTCTTTCGAGATGATACTTACAATGAAAGATGAAGCTATTTCGTCATCCGAGTTAGGAAGTATATTGTCTTTTTCTTCAGATTCACTTATCTCATCTTCTTGAAGGTTGTCGGATATATCAGGAACATCTTCCCTAGCACTATGATTTTCCATGCTAAGCTCCATGTCGTAGGCTCGAGTAACAAGCTCTTCAAATGTGCGCGGCTTAATCCCTTGTAGGATGTAAAAAAGCTCCCAGCGCATGCCTTGCATACATGCTTCAACTACAGAAATTTCAGATAAACGATCCTTGCAGTTAAGACTTAAAGCTCGCCAACGGTTGATGCAGTTAACCACGGGTTCACTCTTCATTTATTTTGTATTTGTAAGCTCTAACATACTAACAGTACGACGAGTGCTGTAGAAACGGTTAAGAAATTCTCGTTCCATCTTCTCCCAACTGTCAATACCTCTAGCTTTGAGGTCTGTGTACCAATCAAATGCATTCCCTTTGAGGGAACGAACGAATTGCTTGACAAGGAGATCTCCGTCTGTACCAGCATTGCCGCAAGGCTCAACAAAGTGTGCAACATGTTGCTGGGGATTGCCTTTTCCGTCAAACTGTTGAAGCTTTGGAGGTTGATACCCAACCGGCATTTTTAAAATGTCAATTCTTTCTGTGTAAGGCTTTGAGTACATGTGAGCACTTTGAGGAACGCCACTGTATTGTTTTCTTATGCGATTCACTATCATGTCTTGAAGTTGTTGGACAGAAAGTGAGGTGACGGAGACAGTTTCAATTGTTGGATTGGCATACACGTCATTTTGATTATCACTTGGAGTGTTTTCTAGCATGGAATTAGAATGAGGAATTTAGCCTTTGCTTGATTCAGCATTGTCATCACGTAATTTTAACTTTTCTGTCAGCGAGGCAATTTTCAAATCTTGCTCCTTGAGAGAGTGTTATAATCTTTCAATTGCATGGGCTATAGTCGTCAATTGCTCTTCGTACGAGGTAGTACTCGTCATCATGACTGGCACAGTGATAGAGTCAGAAAAAATCTTTGGCCTTGGGTGGACCAGCCTTGAACTTGTGACTGGAGTAACCTTTGAGGTTGTAGGAATCTTCCTCCTTGCCCCTAGCGAGGTGGAACTTGAACTTGTGACTGGAGTATCTTTTGAGGTTGTAGAAACCTTCCTTCTTGCCCCCAGTGACGTAAAGGTGGTATGAGTTTGAGTTGTTACTTTGACAGATTTGGCAGAATTGACTCTCACCGCATCGTGCTGTCTTTTGGCAGGAATGGATAGTTTGACCATGCTCAATATCATTGAACTTGCAGAGGTGTTTGTACCACTTGACGAAGTTGCAACCTTTTTGCCACCTTTTGTGATGGTATTGATGTTATCCGTCATGACCGCGATGTCTTTGGTGGTATTCTTGCTCTTTGGCTGAATCTTATTAGAAGTCATAGAATCTGACGATGAATTTGTTGAGGATTTGATGTAGGAGAAAGAGATGAGAGGTAAAGGAGGTCCCACTAGGCGTGCCAGAAATTTGTATACACAAATTTTGTAATCTGTAAATAAAACAAAATATGGAGCAAATAAAATATTTTATTAATTTGTAAAAATGGAGTACAATCCTCTGTAATAATATTCTTTACAAAAAAAGAATGGTCCTCTGATTCGATCTCCTTTTTGTTGTTGGTTGGATCCAAGGACTGCACGAGCTTGCTCTTGAATCACCTTGAAATTTGATGAAGAACGGCACGTTGTTGGATGTGCTTGATGTTCTTCGCTTTTGGGTTTGGATTCTGAATTTGAGTTTTGGGATTTCTGAGTCTCTGGATTTCTGGACTTCTGAATTCTGGATTTGTGTGTCTGAATTTCTGGACTTCTGAATTCTGAATTTGTGTCCTTTGTTGAATTTGAGGAGGAACGACACGTCTTTGGATGTGTTTGTTGTTCTTCGTCTTCAGAGAGAAGAGAATTTGTTGAATTTAGTGAAGAACGGCACGACTTTGGATGTGCTTGGTGTTCTTCGCCTTCAGGTTTGCCCTCGGGATTTCTGGCTCTCTGGATTTTTAATTCTCTCAATTTCTGGACCTTCTGGACTTCTGAGTCTCTGGATTTCTGGACTCTGAATTTGTGTGTCCCCCTTCTCCCTTCCCAGGCCTCTATTTATAGGCTTCTTGGATCCATAGGATGATGACACGTGTCCTTTCTGATAAGAAAAATATCATAACTGGGCCGGACCGGTTATATTATGATAATTATCCTTAAAAATAATTATTCCAAATATATTTTATTAGAAATAATTATCCTTCCATTTAATCATCTGCGCTGGCCTAATTAAATAATTTAAGTGGACCAGGCTTGGTCCAATCAAATAACTTAATTAAACATTAGGCCCATATTTAATGAGTCCATTTGTCCAAATCAAAGTCCACTAAATTTTAGTGTCTACGTACTCCAAAAGGACCTTATAGGTCCAGAGTCTTCGCATTGTAAAACACCTTCCTTGGTTGTTGGGTGTACAGTGTTGGGTAGTTTGATCCTATTTTTTCTGAACATGTTTTGTGTATTACACACTGTAGGGCCTCCCGAGATCATTAATGTTAGGTTTAATTTCAGCATCACTTAGGCCGAAGTTGCTACATTTGGTTTTCCCAAAGTTATTATACACACATATATATATACACACACAAACACAAACACAGCATATGTAAGTTTAAACATATTTATATGATTAAATTGTAAATTTGTAATGTAGAAGACAAAGCAATACTATCTACCATAAATGACAAGATAAAAGTTCAAATTAAATGGAAGAAATGAACCCAAAGACTTGGCATAACAAAGATGCGTTCAACTTAAAAGCGGTCCTAGCAGTGTTCATGATGTAAACTCTCTTTGAATATAATTGCCACCCAATTAAATAAAGGATGAATCCAACTGCAAAGGCCAACAACCAAATTGAATTGCAATCCCAAAGTGTCAAAGCAAGCTTTTGGAGCTCTTGACTCTGCTGTATAATTATAAATGATAAACATCCTAAGTCAACTTTTGAGGGCCATCTTGTCACTTTACCGCGAAAATACATTTGTCCCCAGATGACTCACTCTCTGTATAGTACTGATATGAGAGAAGGACAAGGACATGGGGGACCAAAGAAGACCAACACATTAAATATAAATAACAACTTCTATCATTCTCTATATAACAACCAAGACAGCTGTACTGCCAACAAATTCCACAGAATAATAGTGAAATTAAAGCAGGAAAGATCAGAGGATTGAAGATATAAATGACATAAAACATTAAACAATCTTGGGATACTTTCAAATTTCACTACATTTTGTTCTACAACCATATATATTATGTATATAAAAAGTTCACTATTACAATTATATGAGCATATTGCACTCTACTAAAAATCTGTCTGCAACTATGGTATACCTCAAATGAGTGAGAAAATTCTCTCTCTCTCTCTTGTTATCAAGAATTTTCAACTTGGTTTCTCAAACTGCACTTCATCCGCGGCGTCCTCGGAATAATAAGGGGAGAGCTTTCCATCCTTTGTCATCTTGGTCTTGTCATCTAACACTGTCTCTTGCAACAATTTCACCACCTTTCGCATTGAAGGACGGTTAATGGGAAGTGGGCTAGTGCAAAGTAGACCGATATCAAGAACCCTGCAAATTTGTTTCTTGTAAGTGGAATCGAGATTGGGATCGAGCACATGGTCGATTCCTTTTTGATTCAAGCTGGTGCAGAGCCATGACACTAGGTCCTTCTCCCCAAATTCAGGATCAATTGGTCGTTTACCTGTCACTAACTCCAGAATGACTACCCCAAAGCTATAAATGTCGCTCTTTTCATTCACTCGAAGAGTATATGCATATTCTGCAATAAGTTTTGAGACCAAACAGAACAGATCATGTCAAAGCTTATTAACTTTCATTCAAGTTAAGAAACAAACAATCAGATATCTAATTGAAATGTATTGCACTGTTGATCAAGATTGTTAAACTCAAGTAATCAATCATTGATATAACCTTGAATGGACATTTCAAAGCTACATTTACTAATTGGTGAAACTACACAGCACATGCAGCTCTATGCAGTATTTGGGATTCAAAACTATAGGAAAACATGTACTGGTTTAGGGGCTATTGCTTGGTGCAATGGTAACTGCAAAGTGTGTGAGTAAGCACATTATTGTCCAAGGACAATCCCAGCACTCTCGAACTAATAGGAGAGCAACACTTCATAGTGGTTTTAAGAAAGCAAATTGGATCATAAAACTATCCTGCCCTACGGATTGTTTCAAAAGTTTTAACCATAGGATGCAACATAGATTATGCAAACCGTAAAGAGGTATATGCAAAAAAAAAAAAACAAAAAAACAAAAAAAAAAAAAAAAACAAAAGAACCACGTGATACCTAACAATTCGACTATGCATTTATATCAATATAACAAACAAATGGAAATGATAGTCGTGCAACAAAGGAGTCATACCTGGTGCAATGTAGCCACAAGAACCGGCAATAGCAGACATGCACTCCGTCCCTTTGTTGACGCCAATTTTAGCAACTCCAAAATCAGCTATTCTAGCTCCAAACTGTCCATCCAACAAAATATTGTTTGATTTAACATCCCTGTGGACTATAGGAGGAACACAATCATGATGCAAATAAGAGAGACCCTCAGCTGCTTCCAGAGTTATCCTAAACCTGGTAGGCCAATCCAACAAACCACCCTTGCTACTATGCAGCAAGTCACCCAAGCTCCCATTTGGCATGTACTCGTACACCAAAAGCTTGCAATCCCCAGTTTTGCAACAACACCACAATTTGACAATGTTCTTGTGTCTAATTTTCCCCAGTGTTTCAACTTCGACTTCAAATGCATCTCTCTCAATACCAACACCCGTGTCATCATTCTTTGGTCCTCCCCTTATCTTCTTGACTGCAACTACCTCATCATTACTAAGCACAGCTTTATAGACTTTCCCAGAAGCTCCGCTTCCGATAACATTATCTTCGTCAAGGCAATTAAGGATTTCCAATTCACTAAAACCAAATTTATGAAATGATCTCCACTTTGATAAAGTGACTCCTTTCTTCATTTTCTTGATATGACGGTATTTCCACACAAACCAAACCACCCCAACAACAAAAACAACGCTAGCAAGTATATAAATCAATCTCAGTATCCACAAGTAACCTTGATTTTTGCCTCCACCTTTCAGAGGACAAAGACCAGCAAGATCACCACACAAGCCCGGATTGCCCACAAAGCTATCCCTATAAACATTTCTAGCATAAAGAGGAGGAATATCCCCCGAAAGCTTATTATTAGACAAATTTAGCCTGTTAAGCTTCAAATTCTGCAACTCAAGTGGGATTTTCCCGGAAAAGTCATTCTCGGAAAGATCAAGATAATTAAGGTCTGGCAAACTCCCAATTTCACTCGGGATGTTGCCTGATAACTTATTCTTTGCCAAATTAAGCTCACTGAGCTGCTTCAAAGAATGAATTCCGGTCGGAATTTCACCATAGAGCTCATTGTCACTAAGATCAAGCGTCCCTAATTGACCCAAATGTACAATTGTTGCAGGAATTTTCCCGGTTAGCTCATTATGGCTGCCCGAGAACTCAACTAACTTGCCTAGTGATCCAATTTCAGAGGGTATAACACCCGAAAATTGATTATTTGAAATGTGAAGTATTGAAAGATTTATTGCACCAGATATCATGCCTGAGATACTTCCAGAAAATGAATTCTCACCAAGATCAAGCAAATATACGTGTGGTAAACCCCAAAAGCCCTCTGGAACTTCGCCAAATAGACCGTTGGTCCGCAATCGGACCCGGATCAAGCTCCTGCATTTGCCGAGACTGGCTGGAATATTCCCTGTAAAGGAATTGGAAATCAAAAGAAGCTCCACTAGAGTCCCATTTTCGCACAAATTCGCCGGAATTTGGCCGGAAAATTGGTTTCCGGACAAATCAAGGGTTGTCAACGGCGAGTTCTTGCCAAGCTCAACCGGCAACGACCCATTGAGGTGATTGGTGAATAGCTTGAGTTCGTATAAGTTTGGGGACTGAGCTATGCTCTTCGGTAAGAAACCCTCTAGTTGATTCTCGTACAAATTCAGCGACTCCAGAGGTAACTCGCACAACTCGTCTGGAATCGTCCCGACCAGCTGGTTCATCGACGCGTCGAATCGTCGCAGCGACTTCAGGTTAGACCATCCCAGCGGCAACTTGCCGGAGAACGAGTTGTTAAACAGCTCAATTTGCACTATACTGGTGAGTCTGAAAATAAAACTCGGAATCGACCCATTGAGTCTATTGTTCGACAGGTCAAGATTTTTGAGTTGACTCAGCTGCCCAAAGCTATCTGGAATCGAACCCACAAGGTTACACCCACTTAGCCAGAGAATCTCCAGATTCGACAAGTTACCCAGCTCCGGAGAGAGTTGACTCGGCACAAACGGGTTGTAAGCTAGCTCCAACAATTTTAAACTCGTGATATTGCCGAGAATCGCAGGGATTGAACCGTTGAAAAAGTTAGCTGTAAGAATAAGACTCTCGAGTCGCCGGAAATGACCAAAAGTCGACGGAATGTCGCCGGAGATATTGTTCCCATCGAGATTGAGGTACCTGAGCTCTGGCATGTCAGATAGCGTGTCCGGAAGCTGACCCACCAGCAGATTCTGGGCCAAATTGAGATGGGTCAAGCTCTTACACTCCGAAATGTTGAGAGGGAGTGACGAAGTGATGAAGTTGTTGAAGAGAGAGAGGTTAGAGAGAGAAGGGAGGCTGCAGAGGAAGGTTGGAAACGGACCGGCGAGGCAAGCGTTGGAGAGGTCGACAGATTCGACGGAGCGAGTCACCGAGTTGTCGCATGTTACGCCGGTCCAGTTACAGGGTGTGTCGTCGTGTTCGTTCCAGTTGGAGAGAACACCGGTTGGGTCTGAGAGACCGAGCTTGACTCGTTGCAGATAGATGCCTTCTTGGTTCAGAGAGAGAGTGAGAGGTTGTAGAGAGAGAAAGAAGAGAAGTAAGATTGCCATTGTTGTCATGGAGAGAGAGAGAATGGGGAAACGAGAGGAACTAGAGTCTAGAGAGGAATGAGATAGTTGTATTGGTTGCAGTTTTGTACAGAGTGAGAAACGAGGAGAATGTGATGGTTCGAATTTTAGAGAGAGAAAGTGCGTGGTTCTGTTATGTGAGAGAGATTGTACTTTGTTGTTGAGGGGTGGGACCCACAGTGATGACTAAGATGAGGATATGGATTCGGTGATTATTACCCTTGTGAACTCTTTTTGAGTAATTGAATTTAAAGATGTGAAATTATTAGTGAGTCAAATAGGGTCAGTAAAATTACCAATTTATTCAACATTGAAAAGGATGTGAAGTGATGGAACATTGACAAACGAGGATTTTTTTTTCCTGTAAAAAGTTAAAAATTCATTGTATTACTAATTTCTCAAAATAATCTTTAGTATTAATTTTTATTTGAAACATTTTACATGGATTTTTACAAATTAAAGGGTATATTACATTCGCCTCTCTTGAAATTTGATAAAATTATATACAGATAAAATATTTAGTATTTACTAGTAATATTTTGATATTTTCTTAAGTTTAACACTTGTGATCAATGACATTTTTAATATTTTCTTTCTAACTAACTGGTGGATTAAATTTTATAAAATAATAATTTTATTTATTAAATATAATATAATATATTATTTTCTATTGAAAGTTAATTTTCAGTAGTCCAACGAATCTAAAAATAGTCAAAGTAATAAATGCTGAACAATTTATTCATATATAATTTGTCCAATGCTCAAAACAAGATTAGTAAGGTATAATTTATGATATTTATCCTAGACATAATTGTTTGAATACATATTATTTCAAATATTTTCTATTTTTCTATTTTTATTTTTATTTTTATTTTTTATGATTTAACTTTATATTCTAAAAAGTGATTGCTGAACCTTGTCGTTGACTAAGACACCTGAATGAAGAAATAGAAGTTTGAGAGCATGCGTTAGAAATTTGGTGCGCGCCATATTCCAAACAGAGACATGCTTGTAGAAGTTTGAAAGCATGCTTTAGAAATTTGTGAAAGCGCCATGTACCAAACAGAGACATGTTTAGGTCCTTGGACAATCATGTCCAATTGATAAATGATCCTATTAACTCATTTGTGAAGAGAATAAAAATAAATAAATTAAAACATCAATATAATAATATTTTGTGGCTTACTAAAAAAAAAAATTATAACTTTTTGTGGGTCACTGGGTGTGCTGGCCCATAAAATTTTAAAAATTTCTTCCTTTTCTTCAATTTTTTTTTTTTTTGAAGGCGTTGTAGCCGGTGATACTTTTTTGCCATTTTTTAAAAAAAAAATTCTATTTCTTCATATATATTTTTTTCAAAAGCATTGCAACCTAGTGATACTTTTTCGTCATTCAAATAAGAAGTTCAAGGATTCAAATCCTCCTAAGGACAAAAGGTGAATGTGTGAACGTTTATCTTCCCAAAAAATATTTTTTTTCTTCTTTTGATAATAATTATAATAATTAAAAAAAAGGGGTAGTCCACAAAACTACAAGAAATCAAAATACTCATTTCAAAAATCTTCGGCGAATATAAGTATATGCCATTAAATTCCCAATGTTTTTCAAAAATGCATATGCCATTAAATTCCCAATGTTTATTATTATTATTTTTTTCGGTAAACAACTAAATATTAAATTCCCAATGTTGTTGCTCCTTTTTGACTGAATAATCTGTATGTTCTCTAGATTCTGAAGTGATTAGGTCTATATTGTAAACTTTTGCACAATTTATGTACATATTCAGTGTATGAAGGAATAAAGGTTTTAAACGTTAGGTAGAGTCGGATGAGAAGGTAGTTGAGCTCAGATTCAATCATCTAATCCAATCCAAGTTATAACCAGCAAATTTCCACCTGCTCTAAACTTTTTAAATCGAGTTGAGTTTAGGTTAATAATTGAATTGACTCAAGTCAATTGACTTTAACTCAAGAACTACTATGCCTGAAATTACAAAATATTCTAAAAATAAAAAATCAAAATGTAAAATCTCATGAAAAGTGTGCAGTGTGCGTATACATTTGCTCCTACCTCAAATAATTCTGTCTTTGGATTGGTTGGCCAACCATATCTAGAGGTGTTTACATAATCCGTGAATTCGGTCCAATTTGTGTGGATCGGATTAATTTTTTTAGCTAATCAATTTTATGGCAGATCCATAAATAAGGATCTTAGGGATCGATTTAGTTCACGGTTAGGGTTTCAAGAATTTGATCTGATATGATTCATGAATCCGAACCGATTCGATATATTAATAATATAATATATGGTAACGTGCCAAAAAAAATAAAAAAAACCTTGAATTATACTCTCTCCTAACAAACCCCCTCGAATTATAATTTTTACAATTAACCCACTAAACTATCCAAAAAAAAAAAAAAATCCTTGAATTATACTCTCTCCTAACAAACCCCCTCGAATAATTATTTTTACAGTTAACCCACTAAACTATCCCAATTTTTGCAAAAAAAACCCCAAACCGTCAATGTTAATGTGAAATTGGTTTGTGACACAAACAAAAATTTTAAGGGCTTAAGTCATAAAACCCCCAATACTATCATTTCTTATCATAAAACCCTAACTTGTTTGCAAAAATCCTAATAGTATTACAAAGATATCACTTTGCCCCAATTATGTTAGTTTGGGACGTTAACTAAGTGCGTGGTCTTTACATGCATTGGCAATCAAATTTTAGTGACAAAACTACCCCTGCAACACATGTTCTATCAATTTTTTATTTGTTAACCCAAAATTGCCCCCAAGCATCTTAAATAAGAAGACTACCCACATAGTTGCACATTTCCCAGTTCATCTTCTCTCCTCCATACGTGAAAGCTTTTGAGGAAGAGACCTAGAAGCCACCGTTCTTTCTTCCATTCTAGGAAATAGTGGAAATGATTTTGAAGACCTAATTGAAGGTAATTTAGTACCCATATTGAACGTAATTTGCTACCTTAATTAAATGTAATCTGTAGCCCTACCCAAACCCTAATTGACTGTAATTTATTTGAGGATTTCAATAAATTTCTTTGAGATTTCAAAAAATGTAATTGCTTTGAGATTCAAACCCATTATGTGAATTTTGTTTTCAAAATCGTACAATACAATCCCTATCTTAGTGTCCAACCATAACCACCATCGAAATTAGGTGTTGTTTTGAGTTAATTTTTAGTGTTTTTATTGAAATTAGATGTTTTGATTTGTAGATTCCAATCCAAGAATGCCTTCTTCAATCATACAATATAGGAGTCTTGATTTGAGGTATATCGATGTTGAATGTGATTGTGGCAAATCAAATCTAATTCTGGTAATAGGGTTTGATGAGTATGACAATTTGGGAAAGCTACACTACAAATGTCCAAAAAAAAGATGTGGATTTTAGGAATGGTGTGAACCAGTTGCAACAGGAATTTCAAATGCAAATAGGAAGAAGATTGAGGTTGGTCAATGTGTTCATAGAAACGATATTGCTGACTTGAAGACTAAGTTGTATGCCATCGAATGAAGGCTTCAGTTAATGAAGAAACTTGTTGCAGCATGTATCATCATTTCTATTATTACTTTTGTGACAACTTTGGAAGGGAAGTAAACTTCTTGTTGGTTTTTGTGTTCGTCATAGGAGTTATAGGTGACTAGTTATGGTTTTATGTTTCTGTCAACTTTGGGAGGGAAGTAGTTGCAAGTTATTTTTCTGGTGTTTAACTTTTGTAGGAGTTGAAGGTGGTTGTATTTTATTTAGGGAAGACATGTCTTAATGTAATCTGTTTATCTTAAATGTTAACATGTGTATTTTTATGATACCCCTCGAATTCGAGACACGGGTTGATCAGGCCCAGATCCAAACCCGAGGGATATCAGTCAGTTAAAGTATTTTATTCGAACAAAGAATACAAAATGAATTTAAGAAATAAACATTTAAGCTGAATGAAAACTAAAGTATATAATCCTTTTGAAATTAAATTCTTAAAATCCCAAATACTAAAGATTTAATAATCAATTTCCAAAACCTCCAAGGGTACAGCTCAGGAATCCATCTAGTGGATCCCTAATAAATAAATAAAAACTGAATCAAATCTAGAAAGAATCCATAATTAAATTGGGGAGAGAGATCCTACGTCATCGGAAGAATGAGTGACCGTCTCTGCTCAGCACGAACAAACTCAAGACTGGAACTGACGTACACCTGAAAAATAGAAGTGGGTTAGGCCCACTGATCGGTTGGTCAATTAACATCAACCTTCGCAATAGCACGAATCATTGTAAAATAGGGCTATTAGTCGGGTAAGTCGAACCACTGGGACTGCGCTAGTCTATGGCAACCTAAGTATCTAAAGTCATTTTAGAGTGATGAGGGGTTTATAAAGGGTTTGTGTGTTTGTCACTAAAATAAGAAATTAAAATGCATAAAACAATAGATTGCAATGAAATTGAAGAAGTGAGATACAAGTAGAAAAGACTAGGGAGATGAATCCACACTACACCCTAAGTACATGCTAGATTAGGTCTAAATTTGGGGATAAATAGCATATATGCAATGGTCAAGAAATATGAAGCAACTCCGTTGCTTAATAATCATCAAGAAGTTCACTTAATCAAAACAAGAATGATCCATCAAAAGCTACCATAGTTGAACTACTTAAACTAAGGTGTAGAATCAAATACACTATCTCAAGCAAAAGACCATCGAGCTTTCAATCAAATGGTGAAGCACATGAAGGTAGGAATCAAGTATAAACCATCAAATGAGGTACCTAAGCAATGGAATATCAAGTTTCAAAAACAACATGCCTTGAAAAACATTCATAGTCTATATTTTCATTGTCACTATGAAAATAAAAGCAATAAGATTGATCCAAGAATCATCAAAGATATGACAATGAACTTACATCAACCATTTAAGCATGAATATTCATTACAACAAGTAATAAGCTCTTAAACTATGAAAAGACCAAAGTTTATACATTATAATCCCCAAAATAGAACCAAATCTAGAACATGAACAAAAGGGGAGGCTTCATCACCTCCCTGGATGAGGTTTAGTTACCCATGAGTGAGCTAGAAGAAGGAAGAAGCAAGGCTTTCCCCT